TAGTTGTAAATTGTTTTATATGTATGTTTATTCTAATTCGTCGGAACAGAATCATCAACAATTGATGTCCCAGTTGTTAATGTCGTACGTCTGTTGATAATGTGTGTTTATTAGTTATGATTGGCGAGCGGGTCGCACTCTATTGCCATTGAGCTATTTGCCTTTGTACGACCTATTTCTTTGTTGTAATAATTTAAATTTTATATGTATTTTATTTATTGTAATGCATTTTGAATTCATACAGACTTGCATGTTCATACGTTAAATATATTGAATTATTTAAATGTATCATGTATGTAACAATTTAAATATGACACTTGTTTGTTTGCGATATGTTCTAGGTATATTTCCTCTAGGTATCTACTTAACACTCTAACCTCAATTACACAGTGATATCGATAATTGTTTATTGTATTAGTTTATCATCATTATAATATCTTCACCTCCATTACTTAGTAATTGGGGAGAAAAAACATTATGGTCTATTTTACTCAAAAAGACTAATTATATACTTATAATTATTGTTTGTTACAGGTAAATATTTTAAAGACACCGATGGCGTCCTCAATCGGTATGAATTTTTTAAGTAAATATTAAAATATCTGAGCAAAACGTTTATTAGAATCAGTGGCCGAGTCTGAAGTGATATAGGTAGCTGAGTGTGAAGGGACGGCTGGCCGGTTGACTCGTTTGATTATCCGTGAAGCAATTAATGCGCGTCACTTGTGACAGATGACACGGGGCAATTGAACGGGTGCGGCGTGCCCCTCTGATATCAACGGGGTTAGAGATCGGAGAGGAGCGGGCGTTGGCGTTATATACTATGAGATGTTATTATATAAACATATATACTGATATTATAAGTTTGAAATCACCAAACCGTCTTGAGCAAGCGTGGTGATTAATGCTCAAACCTTCTCCATGCGAGAAAGAGGCCTTTGCTCAGCAGTGGGCTTTGATAGGCTCATAACCATATGTACTGATACGTCGAATTTAAATTTTACCGTCATCCTCATGAATAAATATGATTTTGATGAGATTATAGAAATTATGTTAACACCGTCGCGATGTTTGGCAGCGATCGTTAAAACGTAACGTTTAATTAACAGACATTCCGTTACACTACTTTCACTGGCAATAACAAATACACGAGACGGCTCACAGCATCTGACGGTACACAGAATTTTTATCATTGGATTTAAACTAACATCCAGCTGAATCTTCACTCTGGCTAAAAACTAATCTTTAATATACATATTTATTACATATTTTAAGTTCGACTATATGTTCTTAACATATATAAAATTTAAAAATACTAGCTTTCCGTCCACAGCTTCGCCCGCGTCGAGTTCAGTTATATCGAGTTTCCAAGAGAACTTTTCAAGAGTCTGAGATAAAAAATATATGTTCTTTTTCAAGGTCAACTCTATCTCTCTACTAAATTTCATCAAAAATCAATTCAGTGGTTTAGGCGTGAAAGCGTAACAGACAGACAGACAGACAGAGTTACTTTCGCATTTATAATATTAGTAGGGATTCTTTTATTCCGTCGATATAAAACGTTAGCTCAATAAAGTTTTGTTTAATATTTCGTAAAACTAATAGCTTCTTATGCAACAATACCGTTGAACTAACGAAGGTCGTGTTATTATATCTTTAATTGTTTTATAATCTTAACGTCTCCAATTAACTGTTATGCGGTCTGCGATAAAGATTTGTAATGATTAATATTTCATAACTGTTTATTTATTGCAGAAGTATATTTAAAATAGATTTTTTTACTGATAATGTAATAGTTATACCATGATTAATTTCTGTATTGAAAAACATATTAGATTTGCATTTGACATTGACTTAGGGCCATAATATGTACAGTGTAAACTCTATATAACGACACTGAAGGGACCGTGCATTTTATGGCGTTATAGAGAGTTGCCGTTAAATAGAAAGAAGAAAAATCAGAATTAGAAAGAGACAAAGTTTATTTCAGACTAGTGTTAGTACTTATGTACATAAAAAAGAATGTTATTCGAATGCTATTGCATATAGTTTGTTATTTTTGTTTGACGTCTTTTGCTGCCCCAGTAATGTTGTTGTATTTTTTTTACTTATTTTATTCATATCTTGGGATATTGAGGCATCTTGGTGAAGAACGAATTTCTTAGAAAGTTCGGTATGCATGATTCCGGCAATCGAGTTTATTGCAGGCTAGGATAACACAGCAACAAAAGAACATAGGTACACAGCTGCGCAGTTTTTACTTAATTTAGCAACTTAAAAGTCACTTTTTATTTAAATGTTGTCGTTATTGAGAGTGGGTGTGACGCTATATAGAGTGTAGAAATGTGTGGTAGACAAGCTAAACCAACCAAAGTCAAATGATTTCGACGCTTTAGAGAGTTTGTCGTTAAATCGAGTGTCGTTATATAGAGTTTACACTGTGTATCAATGTACATCTATGTAGTATTTTGATGAAATTAGTTGTAAATGAAATTTAATACCTTTATACTTCTTCTACCTGGCAATTTCCCAGCTATAGCCAGGGTCTGCCTTATATGTTGTGAAAAGTTTTTGACTATTTGTTTTTACGACCGGCCGCCTGCCTGACATCAACCCTCTTTTGGGAATCAACATTAATCAGTGATGTCTAAATACTCTTAGAAAGTACATATGATTCGGAAAAATCACATTGGTACTTGCCCGGGCCAGGATCGAACCCGCGCCCTCGGCGACGAGAGGCGGGCCTTTTAACCACTGAGCCACCACTGACGAAATTTAATACCTTTATACATTTAGTTACAATATGTTTCTTATAAATTAATATGATATTTGTTTTGATAGTTATTCTAAAAAGCCAATAAGGTTACCAGCTACCACTACTTTATCTAAATATGTATATAAATATAGGTATAACGGATATGTCATACTTGTGGACGCTAATATAATAGTTTTTTTTTGGTATGGGCTATATAGATTTGAGGTTTTCATTATGATTGTTTCCAAATATATTTTTAGTTCATTCTATTAATAGCTTTTTTTAATTATGCAAATTTTCATATAATATTCAGTTTATAATTCTGCATAAGTATTTCAAGAATATAATCTAAATGTTTGTTATTGAAGATATCCTATTAAAGCTATCGAAACTGTTCACCAAAACAACTTTCGTGGGACTCCATTTGTGTAGTGTAGTTAAATGAACGACAGCGCCTGTCAATTGGACGGTGACGTCATCAGCTTTCGCGCCAACCGGAAATTTGCCATAAACAAGCGATAAAAGAAAGGTGAATGTCAAGGCTCCGCTTGTGTTTTGATGTGGATATTGTCCGGTGTACCAGCAGCCAGCATGGACCGCTGATATAGAAATGTATTTGATTTCTTATAACTATAAAACACTTCATGTTGTTTGGGATCACGACCGATGAATGACTGTTCTTTGAAAAACGTATACATTTTTTTTATTAACTGGTCATATACAGTCGTTTTTTGAAGGTCATCTTAATGTATAACTTATTTCTGATAGTCATTTAATCTTCTAATCATCCCGACTAATGTTATAAATGCGAAAGTAACTCTGTCTGTCTGTCTGTTGCGCTTTCACGCCTAAATCACTGAACTGATTTTAATGAAATTTGGGACAGAGACAGAGTTGACCTTGAGAATGAACATAGGATAGTTTTTATCCCAGACTTTTGAAAGGTTGTCGTGGAGACGCGATATAATCGAACTCCAAGCGGGCGAAGCTGCGGGCGGAAAGCTAGTACGATATAAATTTAGTTTAAACAAAGAATTACTTTTCAATTCGTCTACAGTGGTTAGTAGTACTGGCTTTGAGATATAAAAAAATATTGTCCAGATTTTTATGAACTGAATTATCTGTTATAGGTGTGTCGGTTAATATTACCTTAATCTTTAATATTAAAATAAAAATTGCGTTGAGTGCATATATGTATATCAACTTTATTAGTATAGAATCAATTAGGTTAGGTTTAGTTTTGTTAGATTGGGCCAGTTTTTTTAAGACATTTGAAACAAAAAAAATGTGAATGTTTTACATGGATGAGTATGTTAATATATATGAAGACATAATAGTGATGTAACTGCACCACGTGCACATATGATCAGCAGAGCGAGGCGAGTTAATGTTTATGTATTAGTAAATAAAATGCGCCTGCGCATCGCCACAGCTTGACCACTTTCACTGCCATTGAAATAGTAAACTTGGACGTGTGTGAAGGTAGCCAGCCGCTGTTCAGATGACTTTTACTATTTAATATAAAACATTTCTTATATTATAAACTTGCCAATTAATATTGTTTACTTTAGGAGTTGATCTTTTAATTTTGCCGTAATGAAAGGAGAACTTTAATCTTTTTAAGTCAAGCTTACAGTTTGCCGTTATTATGGATTGTTATTTGAAATGTCGCAAACTCAGTGATTAATTGCCTCGGCGACACCGGTCACCGCGTGTAGTTATTGTACGTGTTCGCTCTGTGTTTACATTCCAACGTCGCTCCTCTATTGTTCTAACATGTTTTACTTTTACAGTCGCTTAATTGTTGCCGGGAGTTTTTAATGCAACAAAAAAATAATAATAATGTGATTCCAGGTAACGCGGTGAGGTCTGTGTTTACACACGTGCGAGTCTAGGCACCTCATTATATAAACATCGTTTTAATTTTAATAAACGTTAAATCCTTGTAATTAAAACGCGGAATGTTTTGTGAGTGAGTGCATTAAAATATTTCTGAGTCATCATTTTTTTTCTTATAAAACAGTTAAGAATAAGAAGTGTGATATGGTTTGTAAACCTTTAAGTATTCGACATATTGTCCCTACGTGCGTTCTAAAGACAGAGCTATTGCGCAAGCGCATGCGCTAGTTCTCGTGCTTGGGAAAACGGTATTGACGTACGGGCATGAGAAAAAAAAAAAGCTCCCAATGACAGCGTATTGTGTGACAAGTAGACAAATATTTGCTGTAGCGGATTGCCGCAACATTTAGTGTGAGCAAACATTTGATGCGAGTAATGAGTTGAGTGTTTGTCTCCACACACCTCGACGTACAGACGGCTGTGGTGACTTTGTTGCTCGTATATTCGGTACGTTCACCAGACCGGCCTGTAACGAATACACGCTTTAATTATGATAATTCAGAAACATTGACCTACATTACCGTCCGTTGTTGTGGAAACTATTATAAAATTGATATTTATGAAACTGTTTCGCGTGAGATAGAAACGGATGATAGTGATTTACAATGACATGTGTTGGCGTTGTTGAACCTCGGCTTATGTAACTTAGAAAGTGTTTCATGGTATATTTTCCCATAGCGTTCATTTGTGTCTGAGATACCATTTTTCCTGTTTCGATATTGTGCGACACACTCTAGTATTTTGTTGATTCCTTATTTTGCAATCCCTTTGTAAATGTATGGTTTAATTTTCTGGTTTAACTTCTTAATATTCGAAGCCATTTACATTTTGCTCCCTACATTGAGTATAAGTTTTTCAGATCAGATTACTTACTTTCTCGTGTTACAGATTGTATTAAATTTTGTCTATGTTTACTTTTACAGAATAGTAAGAATTTGATATATTTTTTTACTTTAACGTATAATATTATATATATTAAGTAGAGTGTAATGTTTTAAACGATTGTATTGTGTTTGTTATAATTGCTTTAATTTATTCAGTCTGTTTTACTTCACATCCTTGTAACGAGTTGTTGCTTTTGACCTCGACGTATTGGAGAAAGTTAGATGCATTTATTCTTGTCGCCTTTGTGTTTAATATTGATGAAAAATTTATTATTATATTTTATTGTTATCTTATACTTTAATGATGTGAAACTGATGATGTTAACTTAAGATATATAGAGGTTTTATGTCTATTTTGTATTTCTAAACAATGTCCTAGTTTATTTTGAGTCTTATTTAAAATTATTTCTTTTTCTTTTCTTAATAATACTTATAATTTTATTTTGGATAATGGATGGAAGACTGGGATGTGCAATACGAAATAGCTTTTATTTATTTATTTGAAATACATTTATCTGTCAACCCGTAGATGATAATCCATTATTACTTAGCAGTGGGTGTTTGTTATCCCTTGAAAAGATTAGTTTGTTGAGTTGTTTTCGAAAATATCCTTTATGTATAATGTAATACGGTCTATAATGTTATAGACATTGTGAATGTTTGCCATGCTAATGCCAGGCTCAGGAGCTAGAATGTAAACTATGAAAGTAATTACATCTCATTTGTCATTTGTTTTGTCTACCGCCTCTTACTGCGTCGGCTCATACGTTATTGCCTTATTGGGTACGTCTCACAATATAACATATATTATGTCAACAGGAAGTATTCCTTTAAATAAGTTTTCTAAAGAGAGTATTTATATCACAATTGTATTACTTTTTTGCGAGTCCCAAGTCTTGTTACAGAAAAAAAAATATGATGACGTCATTTGCTTTGAACTGACGTCAGCGTTCAAATGTTGTTTCGATTTTTGTTTTTGTACTGCTGTGGGAACTATACGGATTATATTGTTTTTAAAACTGTTATAACCACTATATTAATGTAACGTACGAGTAATGTTTACGTAATATTATATTTGATATATCTAGTAATTACCAGAAGCACCTTGTTATAATGATTTATATATATTTTTTTGCCTGTCAATCCAGTAGCTAGCTGTATGGTTATGTAAAAATTGATGTAACACAACAAGAACTTGATTATGTACTTTTTATGACTTTGTTTTATGATTATGATATAATTTTAGACCAATAGATGTATTAAAGGCGATAAAATGTATTAAAATATCGTTTGGCAGCGGATGTGTGTGCAGTAACAAATTTTCCCTTTACGATCCATTATGGTGATATATATTTGTCTGGCTCGTATCGGTCTAGACTTGTGGAGTCTAGACGGAAGATTTTATACTTAGTTGCGCAAGAAAATATTCTGATGATTAAGTTACAAACTAAATATTATTTTATAGCTAGTCTAGTAGGACGTTGTTTGTAAGGAGGTCAAAACGGGTCCTCGGAGGCTGAGCATGGGTTTACTTAACAATTTCGCTGACCGAGCGCTAATGCTCTCCTAAATCAATATGACATGTGGTCGCTAACTACCTCACTTTCGAGACGGTCGTGATAACACCGGAGAGCCTTTCACTCCACAAATTCCGCCATATGAAGGACTTCATTCAATAAATAATCTTACAACGTTAATTTTCAATATTGCTTTTTAAAATGTGAATGAAAATTTATGTATTGAAATTTCATATTCAAGATATTTCATGCTATTTTATGTATTGAATACATAGGATGTTTACTGTAACTATACAGGGTGACTGGTGAATTACTATCGATATTTGAGGACGTGGTAGTTGACGATCATATATGACAAAATAAAAATTAATATAACATAAATATTAATAAATTTCTAAGTAAAGTTAACCAAAAGTTATGTAATTAATTACGCATCGTGTGAACACCCTACAGATTAGGTATACACACACACTCACACATACGCGGCGGGGGCGTGGTTTTGTATCAGCACGCCGCCGCACGCGTCCACACTTGGAACACTTGGAACGTGTCAACACTTTATTTATTTATACGGAAATTTTGTCAAAAATTAAGTACCTATTTTTTTTACATAATTCGAATGAGAATCATGTACCGAGTATGCTCCTTAAATATTGATAGTAATTCACCAGTCACCCTGTATATTGGTGGTACCTATATCATTATATCTGTTGTCATTATTGCAAAAATCTCTAGTCTCTGTCTCAATATAAATATATAGTCAAAATTCGGATTGTCGGATCTTTTAATGAAAAAAGAGCATAGTTTACAACAAGATGTAGCAAGAATCGTCGTTCCGCGAACGGTGTTGCTAACAAGCGTTTATGGCGACGCTAACGGCGCACCGTAACGAGATATCTGAGGTGTGAACTGATACCGAGAATACACTATTTGTACCGTGAAACTGACCCAATTTACATGTCAATTATACATTTCACTTGTATATGCATTTTATTTATATATTAGAAGAAAATCATCCGAAACATCCTAATTAATTATATTCTTATATGTATATTTGCATTCAGAGTGTAGTGGACTGCACTATATAGTAGGGAGTATCGCGTTTTTAGTGGGTCTGCGTGCTAACAATGGCAAGAGCGGCGCCAGCTCGCCTCGCCTGCCTCCAGCTATGACTTTTGGTGCACGCCGCATTCCGACACAACCTGCCCATATTTATATCTAACAGATGCTAATTTCGATAAATATGATTGAACAATGTTGTTTTCGTAACCTGCCAAAAATTACATATGATTATGATAATACATTTACATACGACTCTTGACAGTGAGGCGATGAATTTGCCGATAACATTATAATTGACCGTTCAATACTACGTATTTTGAATAAACGTCTGTAGACGATATTAAGTCGGCTAAACTCTCGAGGGATCCTTAAATGTACTGATGTTATATTAACGAGGAGCCGTCGTGCACTTAAAACTGGCCGTCTCATGGATGGCCGGCGCCGCGTCTTCTAATAATAGCCAACCCCTCACGGTATAACTGAGGCTTGAGCACCTGTTGTACCTACTTTCATTTCACCTAGACTCTTTCCCAATTATGTAATCCGTACGATAAATATCACACCGGCCATTATTTCAGCAGGGTCAGAGGTTAGCGGAAACGTCCGTGATGTCGCGTGAGGTATTTTGTTACCTCCTTAGAACAGACAAATCTAAATTGCCTTACGTAAGTGTTTGTTGTCTAGTATTAAGATAAAGTATAGAAACAATTTCGCACTTTGATTTAGGCAAATGTTTGGTCAAAAAATAATTTACTTATCTTGTGAGTTCAACGATTCTTGTCCCATTACAAAGGTCAGGCGCCGTGGAAGTCAAGTCACCGGCGCGGAACCAATAGAAAGGGCCACGTCAGACAGACCGTGAGAATATCCTAAAATCTACTCTACGTTAGACAACAAGTTGAACAAGTTGAAAGAAACGGATAACTAAAATAAGTGACCCAATTGTACTTCTTCGAACTCATCGGTTGAGGTTTACAAAAACGCTCATAATACAAAAGCATTCCTGATTTGGAAACAGAAATTTTAACGAGGGCATTGCTTTCCGTGTTATTGTGAACATCTCAGAAGTAGTAACACCAAATAAATCTTCTTACTCAAGGGCGGAAGAAGGGTGGAATAAAGGAAAGAGCGTTTATTAAGACTATTGAATAAAAACAATATTAAAGAAGCACCGGGAAGTACGCTTCCGTTCTAAGCATTGGAAATATAATACTAGTAAAACACAAATTAAATAAAAAATTATATTATTAACTACATATAACTAATGATATATACTAAAAATAATTCATTATATACCTATATACAAGTAAACAAACGGTAATCGACTCGGCTCACAACTTTCAGCTGTAGTTGAATTTTCTCTTGTTTAAATAATTATAGTTATGTTGCAGAACATTGACGATAATCATTAAACTGCGCGCTTAAATTACTTATCATTATCTGAATGTGCATATTATAATTTATCCTGTTCTTGAAGACGCTATTAACACCTCATCGACCGTTACACTACTGTTAGAGCTTTCTCCATCTTACGTTTATATCCTACTTCCGATTAAGTAATTGAATACAATTCCGAAGGTCCCGTAAGAAACAAACGAATGTCTTTTATAATGGGTATTTCAATAAGCATGCTTATGTAAACTGAGGATATTAAACTTAATTATGTTAACGCTGCTCATACGAACTGTAATCGACACCGAATACGGTCAAGGTAAATACCAAAAATATATATGAAGTAATAAATATATTTCATTCGATTATTAACTAATTATAAATACGAGCTGTTCAGAGGTCAGAGTTTAAGAATAGTAATCAACTTGTTAATTAGCTGTCACTTGGAGCCGTCGCGACTGCGCGTTAAATTTTCACGCGCTGCGGCCACCGTATCGGTAGACCTTGATCGTAAGGTGCTCATGATTCACGAATACTTTGAGTAACGTTTGAAGCATACTAAGGTTGTGTGGGCGAATATTTTAAAGACGCCTCAGCGGACAAAGTCCTAAAACATTCCCATCTCATTCGTCGACACACCGGGGCCGGCGATTCATGTAGATGATATGCCGAGATCGTCCTGACTACAAAACTGTGCAGTCCAAACTTGACAAGTGTAATATATTTTTGGTAACTCGTATAATGTTTTATTTAAAGTTGGACCCGTTAATATTATTTATTAAAATTCCCGTATAAATTGCTATTAAAAAATAGTTTAAATTATGACCGTTTTCTACAGTCACAAAAATCTCTAACAAAATTCATTATTTTGCATGTATAGGGCTCTAAACAAAAGAATTTGATCGAAAATGTGTAATGTTTGTTTTTCGTGTGAACGGTACGTATGTATAATCACGTTTTAATCGGTCTGTGACCTGTTCCGGGATGTCGGTTAAATAAAATACGATCTTCGTTCCAGTTAATTGAGACGAGAAGTAACAAATCAAGAGGCTGTACTGCCTTGTAAGCGCAATTTACTATAAAATATGGATTAATTTGTCAATATCTGTACTAAATAAAGTTATTATTGATCATCGTATTCAATTGCCGCTGGCTATTTATTGATTGGAATAAATATCATAAACGTACTTGTATCTCTTGGATGGATGAATTTTTTATTGTAATTTTATATCTAGGAAAAATAAAGAAGTGTTTTATTCTAATTCCTCGAAAGTAAGACTTCATACAAAAGAATAGTGTATTATAAAATTATATGGCATTAGATGTGGTCCATGCGGCCGTGCCATGGTGTTTGAAGGTAACGACGTATTGTGTGTTTATTGCGATGGCTTTTTATGTTTTATCTTACGGCGAGATAACGCGATAACATCTTATCAGATACATTCTCTGCGCGCCGCACCATCGCTTATATGTATGTTGTTTGGACGTAACATTATCACTGGCTAATCAGTAATCATTGAATAGACGGCCTTCGCTGTTTCGTCAGATTGTTGAAATGTTACTTCAATAGTCACATTGAGAAAACAGTGGCTGTTTGATTGAATGAAATGCAGGTGAGGGTCAGCTCGGATTCAGTTTGTTAGCTGCGAAGATCAATAAATGACCTCGGCTTATTGATGGTCCTAGGACATGCATCGAACAATATATTCATTAATAGAGACAGAAGCTATTCAAGAGTTTGCTTTGTGTAGGTTTTGAGGTTGACGTACTGTTGTTTAGTTAGATTTGATTGCAAGGATACCATTTAAAAATGTCTAGTATATTTTGCAGAATCGATAGTCAGTATACAAACTAAAATATTTGATAAACAAAGATCCTTTTACCACGTTACAGGGTAAAATAAATTAGCTTGATGCATTTTTTGAGTATAAAATTATTGTTTTTATTCTCACATGATGACTATTTTTTCTTTTCTGGTCTGATATACATAAAAATCATTTCCCCGTTTAATTTATTTTGACCTTTTTACATAATGCATCTGATGTGTTTTTTATGTTGAACTCCCTTTGTTGATGATCAATCAAGGATGTTACAAAGGTAGTGCAATAATTTAGTTCTTAATATTCCGTTCGCGTGTGGCTCGTCCGTCATTTCGCTAGACTCTTCCTAGAAAGCGAAGTGACCCACTCGATAATAGGAAATCTCAGAGCACCGGATATAATGACGACGTCATATTTACTGTTCATTTTCACTTTTATTTTGCATAAACAACGAAATTGAATTTTTTTATCAATCCAACTAATAATTATATTTTATAGCTCAGAGTCTTACGGTGTTAGGATATTTTCTTTATACTACCAACTCCATAACAACATGTTTCTGAAATCAGAATATGCAAAATTTTAAAAGGTTCATTTCCATTTATACCGTTAATAAGTTGCATGCACACTTCCCTATGCAAATCTTGTTAAATCCTGTCATGGATGCCACATCGCCAACTCTTGTATAAGTCTTCATTCTCTTTGTGACTTTCTTAATGACTGATAATAATCAGATTAAAAGATGAAGTAAGTTTGATATATTGTTCGACTAATGAGAACAATGATGTGTGAACCAGTGTCAAATACTGAAAAACTGATACAAAGGATTTTATAAGTTATGAGCTGGTGTGAACAAATACGTTACCTCTTAGTCTATATAGTCGGATTGTCGTGTCGTGATACGATACTCTCAAGTTATGCAAGCTGTGATCGTGTTCGTCCACAAGCTGTCACCGACTCGACGTGTGAATTACGATTGGTATCGATTTCGGGTTATTATAGCGTTCCGAGTTCATTATTTTTGTCATTGTTGTCACGAAACATCAGAACATAACATTTGTCACGATTCCCGTAGTAATTTTAATGTTTTGTTACGTTGGCCGTCTTTATGGTGCTGTTCACCGGCATTTTCGTGTCCGATTTGAGATTTATTTGTCGTGCATTCCTTAGTTTATTGAGCAAGGAACATTGAACTCGGCAGTTTCCGTTAAATCATTGTTAAAACATTAATTGTTGTTCTCATGGCATATTTCTATGTATATTTATTTACCGTGTCGATTGTATAAAGATATGCAAATTTTAATCGAACCATTTAAAATTACCGAATCGAAGTTGCATTGAAATGTCGCCTTGAACAGGTTTACCTTAAGCGTTCCAATATTGCACAAGCGACCGTTCGCTAGCTATTTGATGTACCTATTCTGCTACCGATTTATGTCGGTAATTCAATTATAGGAACACATGTAAATGTCATAGCGCAATGAAACTGTCGAGATAGTCGACGTTTTCAAGTGCTGTTTCGTAAGGATTGCGCCCCATTATAGAGCAAGTCGTGTTTGCTCTTCGTTACGTTGGGCAATTGTGGCGGCGCTGAGCACGCTCCTCTTATTTTGATTAATGTTTACATTCTGTTAGGTAACGTGTGCCGAGATGTTATCTTAATTGTTATCATTTAACACGTTCCATTAAGAGTTTTGAAATGATAACATTATACTGACATTACACAGATGTAACCGTTATTTATTTTGTTCACAACTATTGTTCGAATGTAATTTAGTTAACCCATTCACTATTTCTACTGTATGAATATTACTCAGATTAAATTTCTCATCAACAAACTCAACGTTATTCACTAATGATATAATATTTTTATGTTGTTACAGGTAAGACATGAATATTTGTGGAGGTGTGCGTCGAACGAAGTAGGTATAGTATG